GATTTTCAAGACGAAAGAGCCGAAGTGCAAAATGAAATCCTGTTAGCCAAAAAAACGGCAATTTTTATCTTGTCGCCATTTATGTTTTTCAGTCCTACCACTTATTGTGGTCCAGAAACTGCATGAAAGTAAGTATGACTCTCGTGAATTTCCAAAATGAACCTCATTTCTCGGTGAAGTGATGTTTCCCTAGAATAAACATCAGCTTCGTAGGATTTGCTCCTTCAGATAGAATCAGTTCAGAAGTGTACTACTTCTAGTTTTGCTCATCCAAACTGTGTGGACAGATTGGTTCCTTGGTGTGGAACCTGTGGTCCACACCCAGCACGTGTCCATTAGACTGGCCCTTCCATTGATAGCTATTCATTGTATTCCGTTCCGACGCGGTGTAATAGATCGTCAACAATGAAGTACTTTGGAACTTTACTGATTTGGTGCCATGAGTCATCACCCTGTGCAGCTCAAAGTGTTTCGCCATTACGTGATTCATTCACACGATGTTGCTTTTCGATCCCGTGACAAGTGTTCGGAAGGCTTAACAACATCGGATTTGGCTCAGAGAAGGGGAGAGTAGCCTAGGAAAAGGAACCACCAGTGAAAGGGAGAACGCCTTTCGATGCAAATGCGAGCTAAGCGGTTACAAGCCGTTAGACACGAACGCAAATATCTTATCTGCACAGAATTTTTGAAAAGTGAACTTCTCAAGCGTCCTTTTGAAACTTTCTGGACGTTCACTGAATAAACGAACACTCCAAAACGGTTCCGTAATTTCCGTAGTGACCTTCAACGTCCATCAGATGCGGGGTGGAGCTTGGACACCAGACAACCCGCATGCTTCCCCAGTGGTACACATCGCTACACCAGGAACAGTCGGGGATCATCCATAGCAGGCTACGATATCTACCCCTCACCTTCCTGTTATCTCTCCCGAATTATCCACACTAAGCACTTATCTCGCAATCGAGTCAAATACTTTAAAGAACGACATCAATTAAAGTGGAAGGGTACACTTTTGACTTCTAGCCACCATCAAAGTATGCAATATTAAATTTCTTTCTGTGACCTTTGTCACCCAGAATTACGGGGTTCTGCATGTTCTATGTCAAATTAGCGGCTGATGGAAGCTATCCGGAAGACAACCATCTTGCGATGTTCTTCTCGCTTCTTTTCAAAACAACCACAGTTTGAAAGGAGTTCTTTGAACTCCAACGAAATCTGCCCGATGAGCTTGTCAACGTGACAGCAGCCGAAAATGAGCCCTCGTGGGCGAGAAGCACTCTAACGCTCCCCCTCTTTCTGCCTGTAGCTACCCCCAGAAAAACATTTGGAACGAAACAAACTACCGTATCTGGTACGTCTACCCTTTTTTGGAGCCCGCACGTCTATATTGTGTAGATAATGACACTCACGTGATCATACACCTTTTCCCCAAGTAATGAGGAGGATGTTTGACGAAATATACTCATATACATTGTACATCGACGCTAGCCACCTGAATCCCGCTTCATATCTCAGAGGGGTACCATCGAAGAGTTTTCAGCAACCTTACAAGTAGTATGTTGCGTCAGAAAAATATACTCCGATCTCACGGATATCCTATCAACTGAGACGTCAGGTGGCCTTTTTGAAGCACATTTAGCTGAATAATATCACAAACAAGAGATTCGTCTGGGCTTTAAACGAGTGTCTGGTTAAAACCAAATTAAATGAGTGTACTTTGCCAAGTTCGTGCAATTTCGGTTCAAGTAGAACATTAGGTTACCGGGAACTCGGGGACTGCGCCTAAATGTTGAGCCTCAAAAAGAGTGGAACGGTTCGCGGGGACATGTTTGGACGTGCAGCACATCGTAAACGAGAGATTCAGCTGCGTTCCAGACGAGTCTCTTGTCAAAACCAAACTGATACCCAACTAAGCGTATTCCGATAATTTCGTGCTATTTGGGTTCAAGTAGAACATAAGGTTGACGGAAACCCAGAGACTGTGCCTAACTGATGAGACTTGTCCTGGACTATCGAAGGACTTTCAGCAGCCTTATGAGTAGTATGTTCCTTCGAGCAGAAAACGTGTTGACTTGACTTGTTGATTTTTGACTCAATCGTGGATTTATCCCAGTTTTTACGACGTGTATTTGAAACGCACATAGATATCAGGTTTCTTTTATGCCGCCGGGTGACATCAGTTACAAAAACAACCCATGGGAACTTTCCCCATGAGCCACATCCTACTCACTTTTTGGTTTTCGTGAGCCGCCCAAGCTCATTAAGATTGCCGTTAGCTGTCTGCCTGCTTGTTTTTTACCGGATCACACCTTTTTCGAAGTAAGCGTTTATCGTAGTTGCATCCGTTTTTAGGTGGAGGCAATTACAAAGTACTTGGTAAGTTTTCTTTCCAAATTCACCAGTGTCAATAAAAAACCGTCAGCGGGCGACCTCGATGAGAACATTTTGTAGCCGCGGTGAGAACAAACAGCGCGGGCTTCTGTCATTCCGATAGTGAACAAGCGCGCAGCTAATTTGTTCGATGTGAGTAGGACTGACGGACGGTCACAAACTGTCCGAACGGTAAACCAATAGCATGATAGGTGACAAGAATCGAATGCGTGTAAAAGTATAGGTCTCCATACTCGTTTCTACCATGGGGTATCCTCAAGACCAGAGAACTTTAAGGTATTCCTAGAAACTATATAGGTGCATGTAAAGGGAGAGTAACTAGCCGCTCAACCGATGACATATCCACAACTGGTGACGAAGCATTTTCAAATCGGTTGTCAGGTCAATAGCCACCTGATCAACTAACAGTAAACTGCACGTTGCACGGAAGAAAGCTCGATTAAATGGACTGGAGAACTTGCTTTCGGATAAGCCCGGCGGGCGGGTGATACTCCGCAAGCGTGTGGAACTTGTATTCGAATCAGGTTGAGCGTGCGTTCGGATGAGGCACACTGATGATGCGTTCATGATTAGTGACGGAATATCCGCAAGAGAATTACGAACTCTGGAATACAGACCAACAGAAATCTAATCTGCCGCCAAAAAAGGCACCCGGACTAGGAATATTTCGATAAACTGGCAAATAGGTCACGTAACTAAGATAAGTGGAAGTACTGGGGTGTTTGTTAGTTGAAAGAGATGGTCAAGCTGAAAAAAAATGACGCCATGCTTTGAGATTCCATTGCACCTAAAGATGTGTTTTAGCGACGCTAAACATGACAGTAATCCTTCTCGAGAATGTCTGAAAGAGAACGAGGAAAAGGAAATTTCCAACGAGAGAGAACTTTAGTATTAGAAAACCTACTCATAGGACTGGGGGAACAGACAACGTTCCCAGTCAGAGCGTCGAACCCCAGTAAAGCCACTTGAAATATGAGCGACCAGCTAGAGGTGCTTGAGAGCATCAAGCTCACTCATTTCATAGTAGGGGTCCCAGGAATAGGGGACTTTTTAAACGAACCACAAAAGGAAGGAAAAATCTACCTGAGACATTCAGGATCAGAAGGAGTTTAGCTGGCCATTTTTCGGTTCCAACCAGTACACTTGTGCCTGCAGAGTTGCTCTGGTCGGACGCGGAGATGAGGGGCATACGAGAAGAAAAAACAGAGGAAGGATTGTCACGTCTCCCCGAGGGATCCCGCTGCTAGTCGACGTTTTAACAGCAAGTCAAACAACCGTACCTGAGAATTTTCTGAAGCAGCCCTTAGCCAAGTTTTGTTCTTCATATCTGTCGGTAGAAAATTACAGTAAGTGTTCGCTGTCAGAGGAACCGAAAGCAGCAATGGACTTACAATCTTAGCTTCTGGGTCCAGTGCTGACGTAACGGACCTGAGTAGTTAGGCAACAGCATTCGATGTGTATGAGCATCTCGGTTAACAGGGTGCCCGTCCTTCAGCTCAGAAGTACTCACTCAAACCGTGTCAAAATACGGAAGTGCGAGAGCTTTGCCTCAAACACCTATGACCCTGAACTTGTTACAGAGGTCATACATAGGGAGATTTCCTTCGGCAGAAAACAATTATTGACTATGGTAGTTATTGGTTCGCCGACAGTATTAACTGATTCTTTGAGCAATAAGGGAGAATGATTATCACGACCACATCGTCTGCCGGACTTCTTTTGAGGCTTATACCCATGCACTTCCTCTGGTTTCGTGCCGTCCATGATTTGTTGCACCTTACTTAATTGCTTCGATAGACGGCTTTTCATTCGCCAGTGAACATCCACCAATCATGGTATAGAATGGACCAGTAAGCAACACCTAACCAATGACGTGAAAATCGTGCACTTATGGACAACGCTGATTGGCCGGTTGGAAAAAATGTCGTAATGGCCCATAGAATCGGGATAGCATTTGTCAGAACAAAGTGAACCCTGGGAGCATTAGTTCCTATTCACAGGCACTCTTCAGACGATAGGAGTCATTGCAAATTACATTTTATACACGGTTAGTATAGTTTGATTAGCGCAAAGTGTTAAATGTGGCTGAGCTTTGTCTAGATCCAATCACATCGCCCCAACAAACAAATGAACAAACAACAGGTTTTAAACACTGCCAAGCTACAGTTTGTCTCCTTGACTCGTATTGGTGTTTGACAACCTTCGTGACATACCATCACATCTCGCCCCATTCGATTTTGAGCATTCAAGCTTTGCGAAATCACGAATGAAGTTCGGCCATTTGTCGAGCCTCTACCTAACTTAACCGGCATGTTTTCGTCTCAGCAGCACATCTCCAAATTTTACCTTTCAGAGGAGCTACAGTCTCAGGGAGTTACCATCGATGAAGTCATGAGTGAGTCATTCAGATGTATTCGTAACAAATACTTGGGATTTTAAGCAGTAAGACTATTCGGGCCATCTCTAAACGCCAGGATGCATACAGCGGTTTTAGCACCGTCCAAAACCATCAGCACCAAGCAGGTTCCTAATATTTAAGGTGATTCGAATCAAAAGTTAGTTGAACCCCATCACATTCGGTCACATGTGGCTGATTGGTCATCTGTAGTGTGACAGATGAGGTGAATGCACGAATCCGCAAGGCTCGGTTAGCGTTTGCTAAAGTGAGACACCTATGGCGTCAGAATGGTTTATCCCTGAATCTGAAGGGACGTGTGTATCAAGCTGCAGTACGGGCTGTTTTATTGTGTGGCTGTGAGCCTTGGCCTATTCGAGCAGCGGACCTGAGACGTCTTCAGGTGTTCGACAATCGTTGTCTCAGAACCA